CCAGCTACTTGGGAGGCTGAGGCAGGAGACTCGCTTGAGCCCAGGAGTTGGAGGTTGCTGTGAGCTGTGATGCCATGGCACTCTACCCAGGAGGATAGCTTGAGGCTCCATCTCAAAAACAAAAAACAAAAAACAAATAAATATACTGACATACGGGACAATAAATTCAGGTGGAGTCAAAGCCAAAACCATCCACTCTTGGATCCATCACCTGCATTCAAATTGTGGTTCTTTCGAGTCTAGGCTGCTGCCCCTCCCACGAGTGAGGTAATCTTTCTGAGCCTCAGTAGCTCTCTCTGTGAAATGGGAACTCAGATTGTCTACCTCCTAGGGTTACTGTGAGGATTCAACACAGTGACTGTACAAGGTAGCATTTGGTGCCACATCTGACGGGGTGCTCAGTAAACACGCAGCAGCATCGTGAACGTGGGAACCTTTTCGCCCCTTTGGACCCCTCCAGCAAGGGGGAAAAGCAGTCTCTGGCCTGCTTAACATTCCATAGGAAGGCACTGAGCTGGGTCCCAGGAAGACAGAGATAGAGTAGACAGCCTCAGTGCTCAGGTGACTCACAATCTCCTTGAGGAGACAGGCTGCACGCAGCAAGGACTCGCTCTGCGCAGCAACTGCCAAACAAGTTCCGTGGTTATAATGCCACCTGCATTCAGAGGAGTCAGGGATGTCTGGGCTGGGACGATCAGAGAAAGGTGCACCGTGATGCCATTCACACATTCTCCAAGTCAGATCTGGGCGCACATGGCCAGGTGGCTTCGTGCTTTTGCACCCTGGGCTCCTCCCTGCCCTTGGAGACGCCAGGCACTCCTCCGTGAGGCCTTGACCTTCCTGGGTACAGCCCCAAATTTCCCCCATTGTGTATCTTCCTGTCCAGGCTTCTGTTACTGTCCCTTGCATGTGGGGTGATATTGTTAGTTCCCATGTTGGACGCTCTTCCCCGGGTCCTTACAGAGCCCTGGCGTGAGGACAGACAGGTGCTCCTGAGCAAAGATTATGTCTGTGCATCCTTTTGTCCTGGAGTCGTCTGCCCAGGGCAGGCGTCTGGTGGCTCTCTGTGAATGAGTGAGTGTGTGCGTGTCTCGGCAGATGGTTCTGCACACAAGGCGGGCGCTGTAATTAGGCTGCGAAACTGTCCGTCCAGCCGCACAAGTTCTGCACTTTACTCGGTGGCCTCACGACATCTGCTCCTTCCTCGCCACCTCCCCTATCCCGAGCAGCACTCTTATCGACTCTTACAAGCCCTTTTACACCCCTCGTCTCAAGTGATCCTCAGAGCCATTGTCACTGGGGTGGGCATGCATCCTGGGGTCCATTTGACAGAAACCCAGCCTCCAGAGGTCGCTGATTGCTCACCTTTACACAGATGAGGAGCCCCAAGGATATGTGATGTTTGCAACCCAAGGACAAGTTGCCTGTGCACCTTTTCCAGCTCTGTGGCCTAAAGTGCAGGGTGACATAACGTTGGGAGCTTAACAGGTGGCTGCTGATGTGATTGATTGGAGTAGGGAGACTGGAGTGTTTAAAATTTATTTTTTGTTTGTTTGGTTTGTGTTTTTGAGACAGAGTCTCACTCTGTTCCCCTGGGTAGAGTGCTATGGTGTCATAGCTCACAGCAACCTTAAACTCCCAGGCTCAAGCAATCCTCCTGCCTCAGCCTCCTGGGTAGCTGGGACTACAGGTGCCTGCCACAACACCCCGCTAATTTTTCTATTTTTTTTAGTAGGGATGGGATTACAGGCATGAGCCACTGCACCCAGCTTTAAAATTTATTTTGGACCAGCCACACAGACCTGACTGGGGAACAATATTTAAGCTGCCTCCTCTGCCCTCCCCAGACTGCAGACGTGCACACAAACCCACGTGCACACACTCCCTCCTTCCTGGGGCGTCTTTCTGAGAGAGCAGATTAGAAGCCTGACACAACCTGAAGGCAGGTGGTAAATGAGGCCACCAGAATTCTTTCTCCTCAGTGGGGAGCACATGTGATTGGCATACATTTGCATGTGTTCCGAAGCCATCTTACTGAGTTTTTTTTTTTTTTTTTTTTGAGACAGTCTCACTTTGTCACCCTGGGAGGAGTGCCATGACATCATAGCTTACAGCAACCTCAAACTCTTGGGCTGAGGCAATCCTCTTGCTTCACCCTCCCAAGTAGCTGAGACTAGAGGCACCTGCCACAACTCCCATTTTTCAGAGATGGGATCTTGCTCTTCCTCTGGCTGGTCTTGAACTCCTGAACTCCCAAACTGCTAGGATTACAGGTGTGAGCCACTTCACCTGACCAGCATTTTTTTTCTTTTGAGATAGGGTCTCACTGTGTTGCCCAGGCTGGTCTCAAACTCCTGAGCTCAAGCAATCCACCTGCCTCAGCCTCCCAGAAGACTAGGATTACCCAGCTAGGGCTGGGTGCTAGGCATGAGGCACCACATCCAGCCCTTGAAACAGCTAACAGGTGAGGCCACTTCCTCTAGGGCAGCCAATGGAGAAGCTGACACATTTGCAATCTGAGCAACTATGAGTATTTCTCCCCAAGAGTCTTCTACATTAGCAGGAAATTGTAAGTATCACTGAAGACCCAAAAGGCAGCAGAAAACATGACATTTATGCAACAATAACAATAGTAGGAATAAAAACAATATCTAACACTCACTGAGCACTCTCTATGACCTTTGAATACATTATTGTAATCTTCTCAATAACCCAAAAGGGGAGGTCCAATTATTATCCCCATTTCACAGGTGAGAAAGTGGATCCACGGACTTAATCCCACATGGCTTGTCAGTGATTCAAACACAGGCATTCTGGCCCCATTTACTTATGTAGCAGGTATTAGTTTAAGCACGTTTGAGCCAGGTAATACTCTAAGCATGAGGAACACACAGTGAATGAAAAAGACAGAGTCTCCTTGTCACAAAGCATTAATGTGCATTAGTTAGGGTAAGATTGGGTTCCTGGAACAAAGAGACCCCGAAATTTATTAAAGAAGGGAATTTCTCTCTAGAGCGGTAATTCCAGTGAGTGACCCAGGCTGGTGGGCAGCCCTGCTTATCCACACAATCATGCAGAGAACCCAGGTTCCTTCCACATCATTGCTCTAAGCACCCAGGACACTGTCTTTACCGGCTTAGGTGAGGCTGGGCTGCTGCCTTGGCCCCACGTAGCAGCAGGAAGGTGGAAGAGAGTCTGGAGGGCCACAACTCGTGCACCAAAGCCCCAGGCTGGCAGGTACAGCAGGCATCTCTGTTTTTTCTGTGTGTGTGAAAAACCTAGACCCTGTGGCCATTTCCGACTTCCAGAGGGGCTGCAGAATAGGGACTGGCCAGGAGCCAAGGAGGAAGGGGGGAATGGCAAGAGCAATGAACAGGCTTTGCTGTGGAATGTCAGTCACAAAGCAAATAAATGTGTTGGATGATGTCAGAGAGCCACAGAAGCCATGAAGGAAAACGAAGCAGGGGGAGGGCCAGAGAATGATGGGGTCATGTTTTCAGACAGAGCCATCAGCTCTTAATCACTGTCCTTAACTGACTCCATTGCACCTATGCTCACAGTGACAATGATGCAGGCTTAGGAGAGCCTCGAGCACTTCCTGAACCAAATAAGGTCAGCTTATGTCCAGCCGAGTAGCCAGGTGCTCTGATCAAGTAAGAATTTACTGGCCTTGACCTTCACAGAGCTTCTTGTGCCTTTTATCAAGGTATTTTTACTTATGAATCATTTCGTGCTCATTTTAAAAAACCCCTTTAAGGTAGCTAGGGCAGGTATTGTTGTCCCTCCCCCGCCTTTGATGAGAGGGGAACTTGAGAATTAGAAATACTTAGTTCAGTTAAAAAATAAACTGTAGTGACCAGGCATGGTGGCTCATGCCTGTAATCCTAGCACTCCAGGAGGCCAAGGTGAGTGGATTGCTTGAACTCAGGAGTTTGAGGCCAGATGAGCAACAGCAAGACCCTTGTCTCTACCAAAAATAGAAAAAATTAGACAGATGTTATAGCAGGAGCCTATAATCCCAGCTACTTGGGAGGCTGAGGCAAGAGGATCACTTGAGCCCAAGAGTTTGAGGTTGCTGTGAGCTATGATCCCATGGTGCTCTACCCAGGCATGAAAAAGACAGAGTCTTTTCCTTGGGCGACAGAGTGAGACTGTGTCTCTAAATAAATAAATAAATAAATTGAACCGCACTGAGCTCCTACATGCCAAGAAACTTGGATACAAGGGCAAATGGGATGAAGCTCCTTCATGTCCCTTGGCGAGTGGCTTAGTATGGTATGCAGACCTATAAGCAAATAATTTTCTAAAACATACAAAGGTAAAAGTATGTATAAAATATAGCAGTCCAGAAGAAGAAGAAAATAATAATTCTACCTGGGTAGAAGGGATCAGAGAAGGTATCACCAAAGAGGTGATGACTGATTGGGGTTTTGAAAGATGAATAGGAGTTCTCCACATGGATGTGGCATCTGTTCCAAGGAGGGAAAATATGTTCCAGAAACAACCATGCACATAAAGGCATAGAGATTCAGCAATACAAAATGCCTCATAAGTACAACTACGAACATTTGAGAAAGGCTCACAAAACTCTTTTAAAATCAATGCCAGAAAATAACATAGGTTTCCCAATTCGTCGTCCACACTAGTTTTTTATATTCTTTTGCAGTTGTGCCAGGGTCTGGCAGGCTAATGCCTGGGTGTTGGCTCTGTTTAAAATCAGAGCATTTTAAAAGTTGTGATCACCAAGCTTCAATTTCTAGTCTTTCATCCCGCAATCCCTACACAGTACCTTCTAAGTGGATTCCAGGCTGGCTGTAGTAGCTCATGTCTGTAATCTCAGCACTCTGAGAGGCTGAGGCAGGAGGATTGCTTGAACCCAGGAGTTCCAGGCTACAGTGAGGTATGATCCCATTATTGCACTCCAGCCTGGGCAAAAGAACAAGACCCCATCTCAAAATAAATCAATCAATAAAAATAAATGAATCCCAAAATATATGAACTAAAACACTGAGAATACAAGGACACTTCTGGGCCATCCTGATCCCCAAGATGACAGATGGATCTGAAGAGAGGCCGAGCTGCACCGGGAAGACCGCTGTATTTTGCATGCTCAGGAATCTGTGCTTTGTTCTGAGCTCCTGAAAGATTTTACTCTGATGTAATTGGGTGTGCATTTTAGGCAGCTGATTCTGGGGGCAGTGTAGGGATTGAATAGGAAGGAGGACCAGTTCTAGAAGATGCTCCCAGCAATTCAAGGTAGGAATGATGTCACCCCGCACTCCTGGGAGTCTTCCAGGAGACAGGGATATATAAGCCACCCAAAGACATGCAGACTAATGCTCCCAGCAGCATGATTTATATTATAATGGCCAGAAACTAGAAACAACCCAATGTCCTTCAACTGGTGAATAGATAAAATGCAATGTGGTCTATCTGTGTAATGGAATACTATATAACCAAAAAAAGAAAACAAACTAGTGCTACATGTTACAACATGGATGAACCTCAAGAACTTGGTAAAGTCAGGAGGGGTGGCTCGTGCCTCTAGTTCCAGCTGCTAGGGAGGCAAAGTCAGAGGTTTGCTGGAGCCCAGGAATTCAAGGCTGCAGTAAGCTGTGATGATTCCACTGCACGCCAGACTGGGCCACAGAGCACGACCCCATCTCTAGAAAGAATTTTTCTTAAACCAAAAACCCCATGGTGCTGAGTGAAAGAAGCCAGTCACGAAAGACCACAGATGATACAATTCTGTTTATGTGAAATGTTTGGGAAAGGCAAACCTAGAGAGACAGAAAGCAGAGAGCCCCCACCCAGGCAGGGAGTGGGAGTGGGGATTAACCACACCTGGACGGGAGAGAACTTTGTGGGGTGATGAAAATGTTCTGAGATTAGATTGCAGTGATGGTTATGCAATGCTATACATTCACTTAAAATTACTGGCTGGGCATTCTTCTTTTCTTTCTTTGAGATGTCTTACTATCTCCCTGCTCTTTTCTCTCTCTTTCTCATCTCCCGCGGCTTCCTTCTCTCTAATATAAAATAAATTTTTAAAACATTATTGAAGGCGGGGCATGGTGGCTCATGCCTGTAATCCTAGCACTCGGGGAGGCCAAGGCAGGTGGATTGCCTGAGCTCATGAGTTCAAGATCAGTCTGAGCAAGCGAGACCCCCATCTCTAAAACGTAGCCGGGTGTTGTGGTGGGGGCCTGTAGCCCCAGCTACTCAGGAGGCTGAGGCGAGGGGATCGCTTTAGCCCAAGAGTTTAGGTGGCTGTGAGCTATGATGTCATGGTACTCTACCGAGGGTGACAGAGCGAGACTTTGTCTCTAAATAAATAAAATTAATTAGGTAATCAAAGTAAAAATTATCGAAGTGATGTATTAGTGGGAGCTCACAGGCACAAAATGATATAAAGGAGACAAGAGACCAAGAAGTAGGTAGAGAGGGATTAAAAACTTACCTATTGGCTCGGTGCCTATAGCTCAACTGGCTAGGGCGCCAGCCACGTACACCTAAGGTGGCGGGTTCGAATCCCCAGCCCGGAC